TTAAGGGGGCTGCAGGGGGCCTGGACTAAGGGCAGCCCTGGTCTAAGGGGGGCAGCCCTATGCTGAGGGGCTAGGGGGTGTTAAGGGGCTTGAGGGGGCAGCCCTGTAGTAAGAGGGGTACGGGGGGGTCCTGTATTTTAAGGGGGCTGGGGAGGCTGTGCTAAGTGGGTCTGGGGGGACTGCTTGARGGGTGATGGGGGGCAGCCCTATACTAAGAGAGTGTGGGGAAGGTCCTAAGTTTTTTGGGGGTAGAAGCTGCTTGCTGTACCCTGAGTTCCTGGGTGCTCCGACACCCATCAGCCTCCGTCCAAAATCCGCCCTGTGTCCCCCGCACCGGGTGGTTTGGAGGCGGCCGATGGGATTCCTTGAATGTGGGGATGTTTGGGGGGATCCTTTGGATCCCCCCAATTTGCCAACGCTTTGTACCAGGCCAGCTGCTCCGCACTGATCCTACCTGGCCACCCGGGCCCTTTCCAGCCTGGGATTGTCCCCTCGTGGTAGGACTCGGCCTGTGATCCCTTGGCTCATGGTCCTTCCTATGGAGGTTCCTCAGCCCGGCCCTGGAGCCCCSTTCCCTCCCAGGCAGAGAAGTTTCCGCAGAGATCAAACGCTCCGCTTCCTCCCGCTGCCACCTGGGGCAGATGACATCTCAACTGTCACTTTGCCACCAAAGAGGAGGAGGAGGAAGGGTAGACTGGACTGCTTGGCTGCTATCCAAGGAGCAGGGGGAGGCCAAACGCAGCTCGTGTTTGAGGAGGTTCCAGTTGGTGTCAGGACCACAGCGGTGGTGACTCTGTCCTTGGAGGCTCTTGTGACGCCCCCGCTTTGATGCAGGGACCCCCAAAATACCATTCCTCCTCTTTGCACCCCAGGATGTGATGGGCCTCCACCCTTAGATGTGGCCCTAAGGGACCATTGGACTGGTCCAACTGGGCTCGGGTGGGAGCGGGGACCCCAGCTCCAAGGTCAGCGCTGACGTGTCTGCTCCGGGTCTCCGGGTGCAACGGGACACCCGGATCGTGTTTTTCCATGAGGAGTTTGGGTTTGGAGTGAGGTTCCAGCTCGGATTTGACGGGCATCCTGATGTGAGGCGTTCCCCTCCGCTCCGGGTTCTTCCTTCTCCCCCTCCATCCGATGGGCTCCGTGATGGRAAAAAACGATGGGAGAAGCTGCTTCTGGGCTGGGCGTCTCTGTTAGTCCTGGAGACTTCTCGGAGCCTCTTTATCCCAACCTGTTCCGGCTGTTGGAGCTCAGGAAGCTCCGGAGGGCAAAGAGGGAAGGAGGCGCCGTCGCCAGGGGAATCCGCAAGGGCCGAATGYGGCATTTGGGGCCAAATGTGGCAATTTTTGGGGCCAAGCGCGGCGCCCTGAGGCTGCTGCGCCCACCCCACCGCTTCCCTCCCGCAGTGATCGACTGCCCCATCTGCAAACACCAGTGTTACTTGAAGGACGTTGTGGAAAACTACTTCTTGAGGGACAGCGGGGCCGACGGCAGCCGCGATTCAAGCCAGGTGAGGCCACGCGCTCGTTAGCGAGACGCTGACGAGTCGTTCTTAACGATGCGGTGCTGCTTGGAGCCCAAATGATCTCATTGGGATGAACTCATCTGTGTTTGTCCTTGGGTTTACTCAAGGGTCAACAGTGCCCCTTTTTTGGGGGGCGTTTTTGTGCCAGCTGAGCAAAACTCGAGCTGTTTTATGCCTGTGCTAACAGCTAAAAAAATGGAATGCGGTTTAAAATATATAATATAACGTGGCTGCTGGAATTAAAAAGGTTAAAACGAGCCTTGAGGTGTTGGGGAGAGGTGGAATTGAGGGCACAGCCGTGCTACGAGATGACGGAGAATCCCGCAGGGGGTGTCTGGGGAAGGGGGTGTCTGGGGAAGGGGGTGTCTGGGGAAGGGGGGGTCGTCCCCACACACCCCTCACCCTCCGGGGCTCTGTCCCCCAGTGCTGCACCAGCTGCGAGGACAACGCGCCGGCCACCAGCTACTGCGTGGAGTGTTCGGAGCCGCTGTGCGAGACGTGCGTGGAGGCCCACGCGCGGGTCAAGTTCACCAAGGACCACACCGTGCGAGCCACCGGTGGGTGCGGTACAGCCGGCGCGCGGCTGACGTGGCGGTGACAACCGCGGGGACAACCGCGGTGGCTTTTCCACCCCCCAACACCCCATGCAGGTGGCTCGAGGGCGAAGGAGGGCGAGCGCGCCCTGCTCTGCGCCGTGCACAAGCACGAGCCCCTCGTGCTCTTCTGCGACACGTGCGACACGCTCACCTGCCGCGACTGCCAGCTCAGCGCCCACAAGGACCACCAGTGAGTGCCGGCGGCCCCTGCTAATTAACACCTAATTAGCTGGGGAGAAACCCCGTTGCCACAGCTGACAAATCCCTCCGTTATCCAGCCTGCTCTCTCTTTAGATCAGGGTGGATAACTGACCACACTCATCAAAAACCTAGATTTATGCCACGATTCATACCATAAATCTTGATTTATGCCACGATTCATACCATAAATCTTGATTTAGGCCACGATTCACACCAAAAACCTTGATTTAGGCCAGGATTTACACCAAAAAACCTTGATTTAGGCCAGGATTTACACCAAAAAACCTTGATTTAGGCCAGGATTTACACCAAAAAACCTTGATTTAGGCCAGGATTTAGAATCATAGAATGCTTAAGGTTGGAAGGGACCTCAGAGGTCATCTAGTCCAACCCCCCAAATTACAAATGGTGTATTATTTACACCATAAACCTAGATTTATACCCGGATTTACACCATAAACYTAGATTTATACCATGACCATGAAAAGCTTGATTTAAACCTTGATTTATATCCATTCTTATAATTCTAAATTATAATTTATCAGGGGCTGCTTTTGATTGATCCTGAATAAGTTGATCTGGATTAAGTTGATGTTTAACTGTTAAACTGATCATTAAACTGATCTTTTAAACTAATCATTAAGGAATACCCAAAATTGGACAGCTAGTCTAATCACCCACCAAAAATGCATTGGAATTTAGTCTACAATCTGCTTGTCTTTGGTTAATTAATCCATTAAAAATCTAGCCTGTTGTTTACTAGTCTGGTAAATCAGATTAACTTGACTGTTAATGGGTAAGTGATTTGATTAGTTTTCAAGCTAATTCCAATATACCTAATATTAATCTAAATGATGTCTAGATGAAATCATAAYGTTGGTGTCTAAATGATCGCTAAATTGTGGGAAGTTGTAACTGATAAAAGGTAGTTGATAATAAAAATTCAGCTGATAACTGAAAAAAAATCTGACTAGACATTAAAAACTAGTGTATATGTAGTATGTAAAATAGTGTGTGTATATATATATAGTGTATATATATAATAGCATATATAGTAAGAAATCATATATAGTTTTAGCATATATGGAACTCGATTAAGCTAGAAGTAGTTAGGTTAAATCAATGTTTAATGGGTGTTCTGTGGGTTTCCTTAGCTTGACCAGCTGATTAGTTTTCCCAGGTTTTTAACCCATATTGATTTTATTTTAGTGGGCTTTTAGAAGTGGGGGTTTTTGCTGKCTTTAACGTGGTTTTTATGCCTTAACTCGATGGCAAAGGTTGGCGGAACATCAGGTTGACTTGACTAGAGTTGACTTGTTGCTCTGGTGAGCCCTGCAATTGGGGGGCTGTTGGAGCCCTGCAGTTGSGATGTTGTTGGACTATATCCGGGACCCCCAAGGGCCGTTTCTGCCGGCGGGGGGGACCCATGGATGGGTCTGTCCCCAAGGCCGTTTCCCCCCCGTGCAGGTACCAGTTCCTGGAGGACGCGGTGAGGAACCAGCGCAAGCTGCTGGCGTCGCTGGTGAAGCGCCTGGGCGACAAGCACGCCAGCCTGCAGCGCTCCACCAAGGAAGTGCGCAGCTCGTACGTACCCCCCGGCACCGAGCGGGGTCCCGGCGGCGCCGGGCAGCCCCCCGGCTCATCCCGGGGCTCCCCCCGGCCGGCAGCATCCGCCAGGTGACGGACGTGCAGAAGCGGGTGCAGGTGGACGTCAAGATGGCCATCCTGCAGATCATGAAGGAGCTCAACAAGCGCGGCAAGGTGCTGGTGAGCGACGCCCAGGTGAGCGCTGCCCCCCCCGGCACCAAGGGTGGCCGCCTGTCCCATCCCCGTGTCCACGCCGCTCCCCGTGCCCCCCTGCCCCACGCAGAAGGTGACGGAGGGGCAGCAGGAGAAGCTGGAGCGGCAGCACTGGGCCATGACCAAGCTGCAGCGGCACCAGGAGCACGTGCTGCGCTTCGCCTCCTGGGCCCTCGAGAGCGACAACAGCACCGCGCTGCTGCTCTCCAAGAAGCTGGTGGGTCGCCCAGGGGCTGTGCCCCGTCCTGCGCCCCCTGTCATGCCCTTTTGGGGGACAGGGACGCCCCCCCAGTAGCCCCAGGCCACCAGTTTCCCCCCAGTTTGCTTTGCTTTCCAGGACTGGGCAGGGTGGGGAAGGGGTGTCAGTGAGCAAAGCTGAGCCGTGGGGTGTCACGTCTGCCCTGTGCCCCCCTTTTGCCCTAAAAAGACCATCTTGGAGAGACCTGTCATCGAGTGGGGACACGGGACGGGCACCTGGGGGGGCGGCTGGACCCCCGGTCACCCGGATTGGGCTTGGGAGGGTCCCTGTGGGGTCTTGGCCGCCTCTCCCTGCTCTTCCTTCTGCGTTTCTGGGGTGCCCAGAGCTGCCAGCTCCCCTTGGCAGTGCCCAGGTCCCCCCTCCTGGCACGCCTGGGGTGCCCTGCGTCCCTCTGGCCACATCCCTGTGGTGACACAGGCCCCTCCTATCCTGATGTCCCCAAGGTGCTGCACGGGGGCCCTTAGAGTCGAACTGGGTCCCGTTGGGGCCCACGCAGTTTGATGGRTGCCCCAAGGTGCTGCCCTGTGTCCCCTCGCCGTGACAAGCTCCTCGAGGACACTGCCAGGGGTTCCCTTGGGTCCCCAGAGTGTCGTGGRTGCCCCCAGGATGCTGCTCTGTCCCCTTGAGGTCCCCAGGGTGCTGCTGCTAGGTGTCCCCACAGACTAATGGTCACCCCTAGGGTGCTGCCGCGTGTTCCCTTGATGTCCCTGTGCCGTGACGGGCACCCCGGTGACGCCGCCGCGGGTCCCCTCGGGGTCCCCCCGTCGTGACGGGTGCCCCGCGCCCCCAGATCTACTTCCAGCTCCACCGGGCCCTCAAGGCCATCGTGGACCCCGTGGAGCCGCAGGGCGACATGAAGTTCCAGTGGGACCTCCATGCCTGGACCAAGAGCGCCGAGAGCTTCGGTGAGGCCGCGGGGACACCCTGGGGACCCCCCCCACACCCCCGGGACACGGTGGCCCTGCTGACACCCTCCTCCTCCTCGCAGGGACCATCGTCTCGGAGTGGAGCTGTTCCCCGCCACCCCTCACCCCGCAGCCACCACCGACCAGCCCCATGGCAGGAGCCTCACAGGTACCTTGGGGTGCTGGCGGGTGGGGGGGGGGTGGATTTAGGGTGCAGAGGGGCCACCCATGGGTGCCCCTCACCCTGCAGTAACAGAGCCCCCTCTCTCTACCCGCACCCAGGCTCCCTTGCAGGCCACGGTGGTGAGCAAAGGGCAGTACGCCCCCGGCCCCCTCCTGCAGCCCCCGMGGGGGCCGGCCGCCCCCCAGGGCGCCGGGCACAGGACGGGGACCCCCCCGCTGCCCCCCTTAGCCCGGAGCACCGAGGCCTCCGACTGTCCCCTCCTCGTCCCCGCGCGTCTTCCCCCGCAGCCGGCCGAGATCCCCAGGGACGCGGCGGCCGCTGCCGAGCTGGGTGAGCGGGGGGGACGGGGGGAGGATGGGGAGGAAGGTGCCTGATGTGTTTTTTGTTTATTTTTCTTTATTTTTAATTTGTTTCTATTTATATTTTTTACCTCTGCAGCCCTTGCCCCCCCGGAACGTACTGTGACTGGAGTGAAGAGGTGAGTCGTGGCGGGAGGACCCCTGTGTCCCTTGTCCCCCAAGGCTCTGCTGGCCCTCGTCACCTCCTGCCTTTGGGACTGGGGGGGAAAGGGGTGCCCCCCCTCCCCCATAGCCCCCCTGTGACCCTCCCCTCCCTTRTCACCCCATGCCCAAGGCGACTTGGCCTTTCCCGTCACTTGTCACCTTATTCCCAAGGCTCTTCCCCCYGTGCCCTGGGTGTTGTGGGACACCCTCTCCCCCGACCCCATCCCTTGTCACCCCCTGGGTGACCTGGGGATACCCTGTCCCTTGTCACTGCCTACCAAGGACCCCCCTGTCYTATGTCCCTTACCTAGAGGGCAAATAGGGCCCTCTTGTCAAATGACACCTGGAGATTCCCTGTCCCTTGTCACCGTGTGCCGGGGGGCGGATCAGGGCCCCCCTTACCACCCTATACCTCCTACTCCGCTGTCCCCTGTCACCTTGCATCAAGGCACAGAGCAAGACAGGACCACTGTGTCCTGTCCCAGGGGTCCCCGTCCCAGGAGGTCCCCAACCCTCTCCGGGCCCTGGTGGTTGATGGGGACCCCCGGGGGTCCTCCAAGGTCCCCTCATGACCTCGTTACTCAGGAGAAGGCGGCTTAGCCCTCCCCAGGAGGAGGAGGAGGAGGTCGCTAAGGAGCCGCTCGTTAAGCGGTAATGACAGTGGCTTGGGGAGGGGGACAAACGTCATCCCGTTCCCGAGGGAGGGGTGGGCTGGGACCCTCCTGTCACCCGTATCCAAGGCTTTCCAGTCCCACGTCACCCTCTGCCCGGGTGGAGCTGGGACCCTCCTGCCACCCATATCCAAGGCTTTCCAGTCCCATGTCACCCTCTGCCCGGGTGTAGCTGGGACCCTCCTGTCACCCATATCCAAGGCTTTCCAGTCCCATGTCACCCTCTGCCCGGGTGTAGCTGGGACCCTCCTGCCACCCATATCCAAGGCTTTCCAGTCCCATGTCACCCTCTGCCCGGGTGTAGCTGGGACCCTCCTGGCCCCTGTCACCCTGTCCCCAGGGACCTGCCTGTCTCGTGTCACCCTCTACAGGGAGGCTTCCCTGTCCCTTGTCACCTTGTGTGGGTGACCCTCTTGTCCCTTGTCACCCTATACYGCAGCTCTCCTGTCCCTTGTCACCCTGCCCTCGCAAGGTGACTGGGGCCCTCCCTGTCCCCAAGGGCCTGGGGCTCCCCACTCGGGGTCCCCGGCGCATCCCTGTCCCAAGGGGCTCCCTGCAGCCCAAATCCCAAGGGGCGCGGATCGGAGCGGCCCCCCCTGACGCCCCCGCGCAGGAGCCGTCCCCTCGAGGGCCGYGCCAACGTCCTGCTGCGCAAGGTGCCCCGCGTGAGCCTGGAGCGCCTCGACCTGGACCTCTCGGGGACCGCGCAGCCCCCCGTCTTCCGCGTCTTCCCGGGCACGTCGGCCGAGGACTTCAACCTCATCGTCATCGAGCGGGGGGCGCAGCAGGGGCCGCCGGGCCCCGCCGCGGTCAAGGTGAGTGCCGGGCCCCGCCGCGGCCGCGCGCGCCCGTCCCCGCGTCACCCGCTGCCGCCCGCAGGAGGAGGAGCAGGAGGCTCCCATCGGCACCGGGAGGGACGCCAAGCCGCCGGGCCTGGGCCCCGAGCACCCCGGGGTGCTGGGCGCCCCCGGCGGGGGGGCCGCCTCCTGCCGCGTGTGCCGCCGCGCCGGCGCCGTCGTCATGTGCGACCGCTGCGAGCACTGCTACCACCTCGACTGTCACCTGCCCGCCCTGCAGGAGGTGCCCAGGTAGCTCGGAGCCCGGCGGGGACCCCGTCGTGGGGGACACGGGGCGCCCGTCCCTCCCGTGGGGGACACGGGGCGCCCGTCCCTCCCCCTGGCATCTTCCCGTCCCCGCACTCATGGCGGGTCTGACCCTGCTGGAGCTCCCCGATCCCCTGCTCCTCCTCGGGATCCCCTTTCCTGGGGGAGATTGTGCTGGGATTGTGTGGTCCTGCTGCTCCCTGCATCTCCAGGAGCCACTGGGATCATTTTGGGATGGCCTCTCCCAGGATGCTCCTAATTTCCTGGTACCAGGAGGGGAGCAGAGTTACTGGGAGCCCTTGGGATCCCTCCTGGCATTCGCTGGTGCCACTGGATTCCCTGCTGATGCCTGGCCCCCCCAAATATTTTTTTCCCAATTTTTCCCAGGATTTATTCCCTTTCTGCGATTCCCAGCAGGGATCTGCCTCTGAAGTAGCGATGCCCGGGGGCTTTAAGGTCCTTTTCTACGTTAATATCCCCCGTTGATCCCAAATCCCTGGCACTCCGGCGTGCCCCGTCCCCACAGGGCTCTGCCCTCCGCTCCCAGACCCTGCTCAACATGGGAGCCCTGTAGGAACACGGATCCCTTGGGAAACACTACCCCAGTGCACGTGGGCAGCGAGGCAGGGATCCCTGATCAAGAGGGGAGGCCCTCTTTGATCCCCGAATCCCGGGGMGCTGGGATCCCCRGCCCATAATCCCGGGATTATCATCCATGGCACCTCCCAGCCTTCAATCCCTGGGCACCAGGCCTCGATCCGGCGCGGCATCGGCACGGCGGGGGATCCRCTGGGATCCCCCGCTCCGCCTGTTGCCGGGAAGCTCCGGCTCCCGGGAGCTCTGCTCCCGCTCSATGCCCCCCAACTCCCGCAGCCCCGAGTGGCGCTGCCTGCTGTGCCAGGAGCCGCCGCACGACGACGGCGCCGCCACCGCCTTCCCCGGCGCCGAGGACGGGGCGCCCCGCGGGCTCTCGCCGCTGGACCAGCGGGTGCGTTGGGCGCGGGGAGGCTCCGGCGCGGGGACGGGGCCGCCCCTCTCACGCCCCTCATCTCCCTCGGCGCAGAAGTGCGAGCGGGTCTTGCTGGAGCTGCTGTGCCACGAGCCCTGCCGGCCCCTGCACCGGCTCTGCAGCTCGCCGGTGAGGCCCCGCGCGCCGCCGCCGCGGCGGGACGGAGCCGGGGCGGCCGCCTGACGGCCCCTCCGCTCCCGCCGCGTGCGCAGGAGGGCCCCGCCGACGCCATCGACCTCACGCTCATCCGCGCCAAGCTGCTGGAGAAGCTCACGCCGCCCTACGGCTGCCCCGAGGAGTTCGCCCGCGACGTCTGGAGGATGATCCGCCAGTTCAACCGGCTCACGGAGGTGGGATGGGAACGGCGCCGGCCCTCCCCTGCGCCCGGGGCAGGAGGGAACGCCTGGGGAAGGGCTGGGGCAGGGGGAAGTGAATCCGGATTCCCTGCTCCAAGTCGACTGCGGCATCCCCCTGTGCTGGGAGAGGAAAGAAATGGGGCTGGGGCCTTCCTGGTGTGGGGTGGCGGAGGCCGGGCCACCCTGGGGTGTCTGCTGTGGGTCCAGCCCCCTCTCCCGCCCCTCCTCGCCCCCCAGGACAAGGCGGACGTGCAGTCCATCCTGGGYCTGCAGCGCTTCTTCGAGGCCCGGCTCAACGCCGCCTTCGGCGACCGCAAGTTCTCGGCCCTCCTCGAGCCCGTCGGCGCCCTGGCCGAGGCCGAAGGCTGCCGGGCGTCTCCCGCCGGCCCCCTGGGCCCCTGACTGGCTCCTTAGTGGTGGTGGGGTGGGGGGGTTCTGTGGAAGGGAGGGGGCAGGAGGGGGCTCGTTTTGCCCCCCCTTCCTGCCCCAGGGCCTGGGGGTAGGGATGGGGGGCAACCTGGTACCCTTCTCGCTTCCCCCTCCCCTTTCTTCCCCYTTTGTCCCTGTCTCTGTTGGAGAAATAAAGCCATTGTTCTTGAAGCCATTGTTCTTGAAGCTCTTGCCCCTGCTGCCATCTTGTCTTTGCCCTCGACCCTCTTGAACCCTGCTCTTCTCCCCCCACCATCCTCACYTCCAGGCGCTGGATGGAGTGGTGGAGGGGAGGCAGGTGCTGGGGACAGAACTGAGAGTTTTGTGGGGAAAAACCTGGGAATGGGGAGCAGGAGGCCCCGTTCAGCCCTGCTCCCTTTGTGCTGGACGGTGCCCACAACAAAGAGGGCGGTGCCCACACTAAAGATGGCGGCACCCACTGGGGAACACGGCCAGCGCGGAGCTACTTCCGCCCTGCAGGGCTGGGCCTATCAGCGCGGGGCTCGCGCCACGTGCTTTCGGCCGCCGGGGAGGGGAGCGGAGCTCTCCGGAAAGAGCCGAAGCTTCCCGATGAGAACCGAAGGGAGCGGGAGCGCTGCCGGGAGTTACCGAACGCTTCCGGAAATAGCCGAAGCGGCGAGCCCTCCCTGCTTCCGGAAGGAGCCGAAGCAGCCGGGGCGAGAGCTCGGCCAGACTCGGCCCTTTTCCGGAAAGAGCCGAAGTGGGCGCCGGAAGAAAGACCCCGGCAAGCCCCGCCCTCGTTCCGGAAGGACCCGAAGCGCGTTCGGCGCCCGCCCGAGCTCCCTCCGGAAACACCCGAAAGGCGCCGCCGGCGGCGCGAACCCTCCTCCGCCTTGGCCACGCCCCCTTCCGGAAAGCCCCGAAGCCTCTTCCGGAAAGCCCCGAAGCGCTTCCGGAAGTTGCCGATCGGCGCCGGCCGTTGCCGATCCCCCCCCCTTTTCCCCTCCCCCCC